CGACCACGTTGAGATGGGAAAGTTGCTTGTTATTGCTGAGAGACGATCAGCAAAGGTCTGGGATGAAGTGGGGATCCAACTTCATCTCAGGGGGTACACAGAGTAGACAATTCTAAGGGGGAGGGGTCAGAAAGGTATACCTCCTGACCGACCCCCATCCTATCAAGAATAAGATGTACCCTATTCATGCTAGCAGTCACACTCCTTAACATCGTCAAAATATTCTTCCACGCGCAATTTCAATTTCAAAAACAAATCCGAACGAACTCCGAAACAAGCCAAAACTAAAACCAACCAAAATGAGCAATTCCGGCACAACAACTCAAACAAAACAATATTTCAACTTGTTGGGCGACAGAAACGAGTATTCGGAAAGCACAGAGACCCCAACAATCACTCCTGCCCACTCCTTTCTCCAGTATAGCCTGTGAGGACCAAACTTGATCGTGCGTTCACGCAAATCGGTGCCATCGTTGCTGTCCAAAAAATGGATAGAAAATTCAACAAACATGTAGACAGCCCCCTTCTGTCACATCCTGGAACATACCCCTTATTTTTCCAGCGTTCATGCAAGAGCACTCCGCGAATATCAATACGCCGACAAACAACGTGCAGACAGCCCCCCTTCAAAGGAAGCTGTTCATGTGGAAAAACAAAAACAAATCGATTAGTCTACTTTTTTTGCCCTCTAGAATCATGGTCACAAATCACATTCTCCTCCCATGATTCTGGATGTACATGAGAGAAACAAACAAAGAAGAAAATACCAGTGCAATAGTAGAACGCGCTGCCAGATAGAAAGGCAAACAAAAATAAACTAAACACGAAATCCATGTTGCTAGATCAGACTCGATGTCGTCGCGCGATGCGAGGCGCGCCACGAGCCCAAACGGGATGCCGAGGGGCGACCCCCAGCAGGTTGCTCTTGGTCTCCAACATGTACCCCTCCCAAACATCCTGTTCTCCGTCGCCCTTCATCTCGCCACCCCCCAGCTCGCCACCCCTCAACTCACCGGCCCCTGCCATCCTAGGCTAAATCATCAGCTTGCCGTTCAATACACGCCGGGTTGCATGCCCCGAAGAAGGCGATGTCGACGACAACGCGCGGGCGGTGGCTGGAGCGATCTATGTACCTTCTGCGGCGGAATGCTGCTGCGAGGACACAGTGGCGGCGGCACTCCTCGCCGCGGGCGTCCTCGGGCCCGGCTGCTTGGCGGCACCTGGCGAAGGCGCAAGCGGTCCATCGACCTCGGAGGTCGGTGGCGACGGCAGCGGCGCGGCGGTGATTACAGCGGTGGGCAGCGGAGCGGCGGTTGTCCCTGTCGCGGTCATCCGCGGGTCAGGCAGCGCGGCGGCAGTGGTGGCAGCGGGCGGCCAAGCGGCAGTGGTCCCGGGCAGGAACATCAAGCACAGACATACCAGCAACGGGAACACCAGACACCTCCCCATCACTAACAACTCCAATCTTATTTCCAGTCACAGAATCAGACTCGCCTAGGAAATTCACACTACGTGTGAGGAAGAGACGAAGAGGGGCGCCACTTGCTGAAGGAATGTCGCCCGGAGGTGAAGAGGGGGTCGCCATCGGTGAGGCAGAGGTCGTTGGAGTAGCGCCGGTGTACTGCTGCTGCTGCTGCTGTTTGCTGCTGCTGCTGCTGCTGCTGAGTCGCCGGATGAGTAGCGGTGCTAAAGGCCTCGTTGAAGACTCGCTGCTCATCAGCGTCGGGCCCTGCAGACGGGGGACAGAACGGGCGGCCCCGACCCCAGCTTGGCCCTTGGTCCAGTTTGTGCAGCTGCTCTCGATATGATCCGCCCGACAAGCGCCCCGAGTCTTGCCCCCNGCCGGATGAGTAGCGGTGCTAAAGGCCTCGTTGAAGACTCGCTGCTCATCAGCGTCGGGCCCTGCAGACGGGGGACAGAACGGGCGGCCCCGACCCCAGCTTGCCCCTTGGTCCAGTTTGTGCAGCTGCTCTCGATATGATCCGCCCGACAAGCGCCCCGAGTCTTGCCCCCGGGCCTGAGGAAAACCTGGTCCCCGCATACTGTCCCTCTCGCGAATGAACGCCATGAAGTCGTTGTAGTGGAACAAGAAGCCCTGGCGAAGTTTATGGCAGTCCGGGGTGTTGTGGGAGGAGTTCGCTCCGTGNGCTTCTAGTGTAGAAGGACTGAATCACTCTCCACCCTGCTTATGGACTCTCTGAAGCTAGTATCTGGTCTAGTATGGGTTGAACGTTGATTTTCGTGNTACTTCTCTGCTCATGAGATGGTCCGCCATCCCCTCCCGCAGCAGCTGCTCTCCTCATGCCGCCGCCCCGGCCCACACCGGCAGCGACGGGCGCATGCCTCGTGTCCTCGATCCCCTCTCCAGATTTCCGTTTGATCCTCTGCTCGTGCTCGGCCAGCATCAGCGTCTCTTCCAGAGTACCTCTCGAAAGCATGGGGTGGAACAGAATACGGTCTTTGACATCGTCGTACATTGGGAGCAAGCCACGCGAAATGTGTCTCGACATTAACGTCTCATCTCGATTGTCCCCACAAGACTGTAATTGCATCCACACAGTATTCGCCCTTCCCCAGTAGTCGACCACAGTCTCTCCATGCTTCTGCCTTAGGCAGTTCCAAGTGTAGTCCAGGATTTCTCTCTCATGCGTCCTGCTTCTAGTGTAGTAGGACTGAACCACTCTCCACCCTGCTAATGGACTCCCTGAAGCTAGTATCTGGTCTAGTATGGGTTGAACGTTGATTTTCGTGATCAAGCACGTCCAGACTCTCGTGGCCTTTCAAACACTTTCATCGCCAAACCTCTGCCGCAACCAAGTCTTATCGACGTGCGACGAACCCACAGGAATCTATTCTCCTCTCATGATCTCTTCAAGAACCTCTGCATCCATCCACCCTGATAAACAACTCGTGAAAATTCGGAACGCGACAGTCACACTTCGATCCTTCAAGAAAGCCTCATTCCACTCAGGTACTTCGACTCTCTCTCTCTCAGCTTCAACTCTATGGGCTGGGAACTAGACGTGCCTGAGCGGACATCATGTCCCGGAGTCTGGGAAGCGGAGGTGGCAACCCGGCGGAGAAGGTCGACGAGGGCGATAGTTGGATCTTGTTCCCCTCCATCCGCGGCTACTCTCGGTCCTCCCTGGTCCACATCGGGGAGGTTCAACGAATCTCGTTATTTCCCCGCGTTGTCTTCCCCTTTGGGAGAGGAACTAGTCCCTGGTCCCCCCGGAGGTCTTCGTCCATCTCCTCTAGCCGTCTTCTTCGCGCAGACACAGCAGCCACTCTCTTGATCTATTACGCTAGCATGTTGGAGAGCTTGGTGCGCCCGGCGCAGTTGTAGACGGCAAAAAGAAAAGAACCGCGCGGCGAGTTTACCGGCAACGATAAAATACAGTAAACTGCCCGCGAGTGTGGTAACCCGCCCCATCTGTAATGTTCCGGAGCGTGATGGCTCTGATGTGTTGACGCTGGTGCTGTGATAGCTGTTGTGATGGCGTGATAGCCTGGAGGCGTGACAGCCTGGCCGCTTGATAGCTGGTGGATATGTAGTATGGACACGGGCGTGATAGCCCAGAGCGTGATAGCCGGGCAAAGGAAGATATGTATCGAAGTGGACCATCCATGTGCGTACACTGGCGAACAGGCACGGTCTGCGGCGATTGATTACTCCAGGAGGGGCGCCAAGGTCGTCCACACCTTTCCGGAGCTTGTGCCAGCGATTATCCTTTAAATTAGCTGGCGTCAATGGAGAACCACTCAAGTTGTCGGTGTTGGTATTGGGTAACTAGCAACCCCCACATCACTACCATACGGACAGGCCCAGAGGGGGCGTGACCGCTGGATCGAATCATGTAAACACCCTCACAGTTCGGCATGTCGATACGGTTGTCCCCTGTGATGCCGTGTGCTGTGGCCGGCATGGGTCAAGTCTTGGAACAAGTCGCCGCTGCCGTTGGAACCACCGGGGCGGCGTTTCAGATTGTACAGACATCCCGTGCGGAGTTCAAGCCAACGCTGCACGCGTGGGTTGATTGTCGTTCGAGGGCCTGATTGTTGTTTCAACCCAGGCATTGTTTTCCCTGCAAGTGTCCTCGTAGGCGTTTGATGGCCCGAGAAGGAAGTCGCCAGCTTCCAAGTTTCATGGCGTTCAGCTGCTTTCGACGTCAAGTGTCGATCTGCCGACGAAGACGATGAGGCGAATGGAGTCATCCGGTTGCCCTTGTTCCAGCACGGTGCCCAGGCCGTTGAGACTGGTGTTGCAGTGGAGGCGGAGAGGTCTCGCGTGGGCTTCGATGCTTTTCTTCCCAGTCAGGGAAGACGAGAACTGGGGTTTCAGACAGTTTCCTTGAGGACCTCGTGCCCGATTTTCTCCGTCTCAACACTGAAGGCGAATGATGAAGCGTTTCTCTTGACAAGTATCGTCACGGATCGTACCCGTTTGACCAGTTTGTTGGTGCAGCTGCGGTAGTCGCATATAGGCAGCGGAGAAAAAGAGCGAAGTTATTTGACATCTGTCACCATTGGTAGGCCGCAAGTGCAGCTACTTTGTTTGCGATAAACTTGAATGTCGTCGGGGCCCGAAAACACACACACTAAGTACCCATTCGAGATACCGTCGAGACTAGTCTGAAGACTATACCCACAGCAGTGAACGGGATGTGGTGGATGGAGTCTTTTCAGTGAGTAGAGGAAAGCCGGCTGCTTGTGTTTCCTACAACCGGCTGGGTACTGGACTTATTTCGAGTATTCTTGAGTCTTGACACTGATGACTTATATCAGTGATGCCAGCTGGTGCTAAGTACGAAGAAATGGGAAAATCAGTGGGGACGGCACAACAGGCGCTTGGTTGGCAGGATGCGGAGAAATGTTACGCCTCGCTGCCAACAGCAACTGCAACTGCCGGACTGGTCGACACGAGGGTACCAACATTCCTTCGCGGAGCCCCCTTTTTTGGCCGCCTTCGTTGCTTGTGCCTCCCGCCACCAGCCACCACCCAACTCAACGTTCATCGAAACGTACCCGCACCATCTGCCGTCGCTCAATCACCATCCCGGCAACTCGTCCCACGCGCTCACAGGTGAGAGTCAAACGTGTGAGAGTCTCCCGCCGTGACTCTGTTCGTGCTCCGCTGTGGGTAGTGGTGAACCGAAACACGTACACACCTAAACGCGTACCCGCACACGTGTGTGACGAGCAGAGATCGAAAGCAAACACGCGCGGGTGCCGAGCAGATCATCGTGTGGTAGGAGGGGAGCTTACAGAGCATTCGACCACCAGACGCACACATTCTTTGGAACGCGGTGACGCACAGCGCACAGAGCGTCCTCCTCTCTCCGACGAAATAGCGCGCACAGATGCTCTGTGGGGTCTGGAACGGCTTGCATACAGGCCTTGCCCGTGCATACACGATCGGCGTAACATCCCCTCACCTTTACGTGCTACTGCGATAGGAGACCGTGTTAAGACAGCACGGAAGTGATTGGCCCCGAGATTGTTCGTGTCGCCTCCGGTGAAAGCTGGTGCTGGACTTGAGTTTAGATGAGTCACAGCCTTATGTAGGTAGACTTGCTGTAACATGTCTGTGACAACGGAGTCGTCTACAACCACCGCAGCGCTGCGGTAACGTGCGGCACACGATGGAGCCTCGCTTCACACAGGACGAAGTAAAGTGCCACTGCTGTTGTTCTGCTCAAGCGGTACTCGGCCACGCTACCCCTCTTGGTGCTGCCAGCTCGGCGCACTTAGCAATCTGTAGAGTCGGATAAACCTTCCACCGATTATTTGCAAGAAGTTGCGAGAAAAACGCGAACTATTCTGACAACTTCTCTCGTGTACCAGCACGCTCTGTGTGTCAAAAGGTTGCGCTAAAAGTTTCAAGACTGCTGTTGCCTTTGACAATAATCGCGCGATCGGAGCGAAAATCTGCGAACCTTTCTCGCGACAAAAGTACCGAAAGAGTTTCGCGGCGAGCTTCCGCCAATCCACGTCAAGCACGTACACCAGTACCCCCACCCATACACGTAAACCCCCTCCAGCTTCGGATTGGGAAGGCAACCTGTTCAAAGATATCACGACGGATACTAAACGAGCTGCGTCATTATCTGGAAGGAGGTGATGCCATGAGTTGTTGGGCAATGCCAAGGTTTAGCGCCGGCAGGTGCCGAACGCGTTTGGAAAAGAAGAGTGTTGACGCACGAACGTCAGCGGCGACGGGTTTTGTTTTCCACCGATGAAATGCTTTAGGAGGAAGCAACAGCAACAGCAAGGCCACGGCAAGAGGTAGCTCCCTGCTTTCATGCCCAAGGTTTGGCACTGGGGGGTATCGTGCACATCGGGAATTTTGTTTTTGTTGGCCCTAAAATACCCACGTCAGAGAGCGGTTGGCTCTAGTTTACGGGTATTGTGTGCCCATGGTTTGGTTTTCCAGCGACAACTTGTCGAAGGAGGAAACAACAGCAACAGCAATGTCACTCCAAAGGCGGTAGCTCTACCCAACATCTTTCTGGTACCAGGTTAGATGCCTTGGGGTATCGTGAGTGTCGAGAAAAAGGTTGCAACCCTCTCCCGCACGCTCTGGCCGGTTTCTTCGCGGTATGAAGGGGTTTTCCTGCTTCTCACCGTTGCAAAAAGAAAAAAAAAAATCGCTCCTCCGCATCCCACCAGTCCCGTGGATAAAACTCCCTGCCCCGTGGGGAGCGTCTAGCCAGTGTTTTTGACGAATGTTTCCGACCAAAAGTTTCAAGAAAACCTTCAACTTTTCTCAGAACGTCATGCTCCCATAAAATGAGGTGCTACGGATCCCAGTGCGATGATTGAAGAGACTAGGCAAAGGCTTTTTTTTGTTTCGTAGCACAACACCGAGGCTCACAGCCCACCTGTATCACGTGTTACCACCCACCACCAACTGTTGCGCAGATTTGTGGCGAACGTCTTTGTCTCATGGTCAAATATTTTTCGTCGTTTTTCTGTAGTTTGTTGGCTTGAAATAGGCGCAGTACGGCCGCACGAACCATGCACACGGAAGGCTCCGGAGTTGGTGTGTTGTAGATGATGCCTCGAAGTCACGCAAACATGTCAACCCCCCCATGTGCCCGTATCGCGTCTGATTTACTCGACATACAAGGCTGCACGGATGTCAGTCATGGGAGTGGCTCCACAGCTCCGCCGCTCCTCAAGTCTCGCTATCGTCTTGCTATATCAGTACTGCTGTACCGAAAGATGTGCTACTAGACCGACACCCAGCAGAGAATGTGATGACAAAATACGAGGGGACAAAGTGTACAATTGATCATGAGAAGGGCGGCGTCGAGGACAGAGGTGTTATGCTCGACCTGCCACTCCAACCAAATCGTGCTCTGCTTCTGTCTGGAAGTACGCTGCAAGGAGGAAAAGGTCAAAACAGCGGTGTGTGACTAAACTTGCCCGCTCCCCTTCTTCGGCCCACGTTCCGTACCGTAACGCAGGTGTTCCATCCCGAGACGGTTTAGTTTCGCATAATCTTTCTCAGCCCATCGTCGTGATCGAGTGCTGTGACGGGGGAGCGAGTAGCCAACCTTTTCGAGAGCTCCTGGCTGTGTGATCTGTGGTGGCTGTAGTTTGATGTCAGGTCTTATACAGCGAACAAGCGCAAACGCTAAGGCGATGACCGCAGACGATGGTGCTTCCAACGGAGAGCAGCTAGCCGCGGCGCCCCGGAAGGGTCTGCCCATGGAGGTTAGTTGGCGTTCGGATTGATGTTGGCCGTTGTTGCGGCTGTGCTTGTTGCTGCTGCTGCTGCTGCTGCTGCTGCTGGGTGTGGTTCGCGTGGTTCTGCGGTGCTCTTCTTTGTCGGTCCGCGACAGGTTGATGGTGCTACAAAACACCGCCATCTTGCCCCAGAACCTGGGGAGTTAGAAAACCTCCGGCTCGAAAATATTGATGGTTATGAACTTGACCTGAACGAAGAGGTGGTCAAGTCAGAATCCCATGCTAGACAGGGATACAAGTATCTGCTCGCTGTTAACCCCACAGAGAACTAGTACGCGGACCTGTGACAGGCTAAACAAGAGCTTGGTTCTTTTCGTGTTTTTCGAACCTTCATTTTTATATATTCATCGTTTTCTAGATCACCGGGGATAGAGGGCGGGGGGGGGGTAGGGACCAACTCTAGAAACACCTCAAGCCTAGCGCCTGAATCTCCCTCAAAATTTCTTCTGTATGTTCTCGCGCTCAATTGAATCAAGCCGGGCAAATCCGACTAGAAATCCGACTGCTCCTACTGCATGCAGGGGTCTGGAGTGACCCATGTCAACCATTCAATTGCACCCAAATCTAGGTCTATTCCAGACTACTTACTTCCGGCGACGTGCAGTTCACCCTTCACCCCCCATGTCGTTTCTTTCCTCTCTTTTCTGACCTATTCCCATCCGTCGCGAGTCGTCAACATTGTTCTGAGCGTACTGTTTGGCCTACCAGCGTCCGACGACCATTCCTTCTGAAATTCGCTCTCAGCAAGGTCTACCCCCAATGCCGTAACCCCCCTGATACGTTCAGGATGGACCGCGTAGTGTCAGGAAGTTCGCCCAGACTAGTCAACATGTGTTGGCACACCCAGCGCTCTACTAGTCCCCCCCCCGTTATCGCGATATGAAGATGGCAGTGACATTGGGCAGCGTGGCATGACCATGGTAATAGCTCCAACACAACGGCCCCGCCAATTGCTCTTACCCCCAATTGCGGTCCAAAAACATATTCCAGCGTCCGCACAAGAATGTTTCCTCTCTCTGATCGCCATTGTGTCCTCTGTTTAGAACGAACCTCCATTCGGTATGTCTGCTTGTTGCCAGACAAGTGTTACTACATTTGCTCCCGCAATACAGTGAGACGCCGGAGCCCCGCGCAACCGCCGAGATTGCTGAAGGCGAGGTCTTCTGTCTGGGACTGCATTTGATGGACCATGCCCAGGGTGAACACCGTGGCGTGGTTCATCAAATGCAGGCCCACATCGATGTCCTCGAGTTCGTTGTTCTTGGCAGCGGCGGGCGGGGGTGGGAGGGGATGGGGGGTCCGGCGTCTCACTGTCTTGCGCGACCTGGAAGCGATGCAACAGCAGCTGAAATAGCTCACAGGAAAGACAGAGCATCGGTAGGATGAAAACCGAGGCGTGAGCGATCAGATGCAGGCACAGGTTGACAGCCTCACTGTGAGAAGCATCGGCGGCAGCGGCGTTGCTGCCATGCGCGCCCGCGCACGTTGGAACTAGTGGAGCAAGTGTGTACGGTACGGCCCACCGATGGCACAGAAAGTGGCACATCCAGCTCATGGCTCTTTGCGTTTGCTCTGCACTGACCTGACAGTTGGACCGTCGTGGTCCCGTTCCCTGACAGCCAGGAACCAGTGTGCCACGCCGGGCGCCCAGCCAGCCGGACGTAAAAGACAACTCTAATACTCTGGGGCCACCTACCTATGTTGGCCAGCGCTGTGTCTTTGGGCGTGCTCACGTACTCTGCGGTCCTCTCCCGTGCTCTCGTGCGTAACGACCCACGACAGACGACGTACTACGTGCTCTACCCCAAGAGGTGTCTTATCAATAGAAGGGGGGTGCGCGGGCGCACTTATGGAGGGTCTTCTACATCGTTCGGGGCGTACGGCTTACGAAGCGTTCGACCCAAAATGTTGTTATTACCTTCGCCGCTTTTGAGGACATACTTACAGAAGAGGCTGGTTTGCTCGCGTGCGAGTGCTGTTGAACGAGGTCGCCCCCGTCGCCATCATCCGTTACCCAACGCACGGTTCTTATGCTGCCTGCGCTCATGTTTTTCGGTCCCGTCTACTCTTTCCCGTTTTCGCTCCCGTGTGATTCCGTGTGTTCAGATTAAGCTGGTGATTTGCGTGCTTGGTATCTACTCGTGCTACATGTTGTCGGGAATCCTGCAGGAAAATATTTTCCGATACAGATCCGAGGATGGCAGCAGGTAAGAGAGAGAGAGAGACAACAGGCGGCGAGAGCGCCAACAATCGCCGGGTTTGGTAAAGCGACGCAAGGTGGTGTTGAAAGAATGGAGACGATCGTTGGGGGGGGGGGGGTCAACGCATCACTATGCGGAGTCGGTGATATCCTCGGACGAACTCCGGCCAACAGGTATATCTTGCTACGACTCAAACGCAAGGCGTGTGTTGTGATTGTTGAACGCGGTGGCAGGTTTTCGTCGACTCTGTTCCTGCTGTGGGTCCAGTGCGTGGTAAACGTCGCTTTCTCCTTGGTGGCGATGTCCGTCAACGGCAGGTCTGGGGACAAGGTGTGTACGCGTACGTGCGTTACTTTTGTTATCATGAACTGCGCAGACGGGCTGCCCAATGAATATACGTCAGTTTTTTTACTGCATAGCGCTTAGGCTTCTGCCGACAGAAGGGGCTCAGGCGTCTCTTTTTGTCGTACACTTTCGTGATGACATTTGTATCTGTCCCATGATAACGCCTTGTTAACCCCGAACATTTTGTGTAGGTGTGAGCACGAACAACAGCTACTTAGTGGGTGGTTAGTAAATACCGCTTTGCCGCTACCTTGGTTGCCTCTGAGATGCCATCTCGCTTTATCGATGTTTGCTTTTTTTGCATCGCGTAGCGGCTCCGGCAAGGTCGTGATGCGTGGTTCGTGTTTCTCCAGTGATTTTCACCGAAAACCTACCTCACTGTTCTGACTTACAACACAAATTTTTTTCATGGCTTCTCTTCCACCAATTGTGCTTATTTTTGTGTGTGTGTGTCGCAGATGCCCCACCACCTTTTCGGCACGGCCGGGTTCGCGTACATCGGTGCCATGGTGTGCTCCATCGAGGCTCTCAAGTACGTCAACTTCCCAACCAAGGAACTGGGCAAGTCCTGCAAGGTGACTAGCTGACGTGACAATTCCACCAGGACTTGTGCGTGAGCAACTGCCGAGACGCCATGCAGTCGGCATCCAGTGTATTCGGTCCGTGGTGTCTCAACGGTCAGTGCGGTATTGTATGTTTCGATGCTGCGGAAGATATGTGTTCCATCGGAATGTAGCACGGCTTGGTTCACGACCCAGACAACTCTTCCGTGAGTAGAGCGATGTGTTCGCCCGATCGGTGGTCTCCCGCCCCCGCGATTTTGTTTATTTGTAGGACTTGTCCATTGCAGTTGGTTTCAGAGGTTCTTGGACACAACGCCGCAGACTCCGCAATCGATCGTTGCTAAAGTTCTCTCGCCGCTTGCTTCCCGTGTGTTTTTTTTGCGAGGGCAGATGATCCCAGTGATGTTGTTCGGAGTGCTGTTCGCCAAGAAGCAGTACAGCTTGCAGGAGTACCTGTGCGTGGCCCTGATCACGGTGGGCATCGTCACCTTCAACCTCTCCGGGAAGCCGCACAACAAGGAGGTGCAAGGAGTCGGAACAGGCAACTTTTTGTATCCATCACGTATGGTAGAAAGAATTGTGTCTGTTGTTACGATTTCGATTTGACCGTTGCTCGTTTGCTGGAGAGTTTTTTTGATACAGCTGTAGAGTGTCCCTTTGTTAGGCCGCATTATGCGAAGGCGTACTTGACCAGCCTTCTGCAAGACCCACTACTGTAGACGGCGAAGCTGCCCTCGTGTGTTTGACTTGTGCGCCTTTGCCACCGAATGGCGCCGGACGCAGGTTGAGTTCAGCCTGTTCCGTGTTTCCTTTCATTTCCACCCTGCAATATTGTAGCGGTGCCCCCCCCCCCCCCCCCCCCCCCCCCCCCCCCCCCCCCCCCCCCCCC